ACGGCGACGACAGTGACGGTGTTCTCTGGCGACTCCTTCAGGATACGGAGGATCTCCTTGTGCGCCGGCTGCTTGCTGGGGGTGAAGTACTTTGAGTACGAAGGGGGCTCGACATTGGCACCCTGAGGCTCTTCGTCGCTAAACAGAGAGCGCCAGGTGTCGGCGGGGGAAAGATGGGGTTGCTGGGACGATGGTCAGGCAACGGGACACGATGGCTGGAAACGCAAGCAGTTATAGGAGCTCACATACCTTCTCGTGGACGCCATGGAGACCATCAGTGCCATCTGCAATTTGTCAACCACTCTGCTCTTGTTTGGGAGATGGGGAATCTCGGATGGTCTTACGGAAGTGGTCGGCCGCAAGGATCTCATCCTCCAGCGCATGCTCCGGGCCAACGGCAACAATGGGCTTATAAGCGTCGAGGGCACCGAAGCCGCGGGTGCTCTTGCCCGTCTCCTCGCGCCACTTCATCTCCTTTTCCAGCACATGGAACAGTGCTACGACGTTACGGAGACAGCTGTGGGACGGGGGAAAAAAGAACTTGAGGTTAGACAAAAGCTGCCGCTACCCGGGATTCAAACATGCCCAACCATGACATACCTCTGAAGCGGAACGTTGCCGTAAGTGACGGAGATCATGGCAAGCTCAAGCTCCTCGGGCGAGGCGCTGAGGGCGAGAAGCAGAGCCAGGACATCGTCGACCCCGGGGTCGGTGTCAAGAATAATACGTTGCTTGGGAGCCATTGTGATTTTAGCTGTGAAAACACTTTTAGTTGTTGGAACTTCTTAAGTTTTCCATTGAAAGTTTAATAGAGGAAAGAATTAATAACGGGGTGATGTCGAGCGGTTTACCTCTGCGGGTAGTGTAAGTGTATGCCCACGTGTGACGTCTTGAAGCAGCTCAGTCCAGTTTCCACCAAAAGGCCAGGTAGGTACCTACTAGAATAATGGGCAGGATTATATATGCACCGGGTATGAAAGGGAAAAAATATAGAAGTAGAAAAAGCGAGACTGCTTCTAAGAAAAGAGAGACTTTTGAGAGTGAAGTTGAAGTCAAGATAAGCACCAGGCTATGAAAAGCGCTTTTCGAAACCTCAGTCCGATCCGACGCGGGGTTCAACAAGCCCGAGTCTTGGGGTCGTTAGTCTAGTACCGGCTCCAAGATTCGCTGTGATAGGAAGGCGGGACGGTCATCGCAAGTACCCCCCTTGTAGAATGACAATACAAAAGGTACATGTCATCAGATCCGCTAAAGTGACCCAGTTGTTCTTTTCTTTCCCAGGCATCCATCCAGGTTTTGCTTAACGCCGTAGGGGTGCAGACTGCAGAGCCTCCCCTCCCATGTCCGACCTGTTGGTAACTGCGCCGAACCCCGTCTCTTACCGTGGCCCGGTTTTGAACGGCCTGACGGCTCCCGCCGCCCGCTGCCATGGAGTGGACGGACCTCGACCTCTACCCCCGCTGCCGGCCGGTTCCAGGTTCCAAGACGGTGGGGCTCCGGGCACAAACAGCCGGCGGTCACTGCGGTGGGGCTGACTTTGGTTCACCAAGTGGAAGTTGCGTTGCACATTGGCAGTGAGCCAGATGATGGCTTGGTCACCATACGTAACGTGTTTGTCCAACCAAGACGGAGGCAATACAGTCAGTCCGGCTTGCGAGTGACTGCATTTGAAGGTTGAGTCACGTCTTGCAGGCGGGTATAATCTATAAACAAGATGCGACACTCAACGGTAATCTGTAAATTGCTTGGTGATGACAAATGCGTATAAAATCTGACCACGCTCACGTTTCAGTTCCCGAGTCCCCTATGCCACGAAGGTTACGAACAAGGTAGCCTTAATACGTATATATGCCGAAGACACGGTCACAATGAGACACCAAAAATTGAAATGTTCAACTGCCCGACCATGCAGTTGTACCATTGCTGCGTTGAACATGCACGCCGTCGCCAGCAGACTCGCAACTTGGAACGTGGAACTTGAAATAAGATTATAAAATGCTTCCGCATCTCTGGACTTTCGCTGCATCTACTTTTGCTTCATGCGAAGAATCAAGGCCGAGACAAAGTATGACCTGGGCTCACGGGAAACGGAACACGAAACATCTCAGACTGACCACATCCCTCCTTTTCGGAAGAGCAAGTCTTGTCTTGAAAGCTGGAGCGACATAAGGTCACGTGATTGCGCACCTCCAAGGTCCTCACCACCCGCAGGGGTGTCGACCTCCTGGCTTGCAGCCCGCAGGACCTGTCCCTGCCGGCACCTATCTCCGCGCAACACGGTGGCGGGCCAATGAACGGCGCAAAAAGAGCCTCTAACATCTGAACACCTTTCACCTGCGGCATCCACCCACCATACAAGGTCCCTCGACCGACTTCGTTTCCAGACCCAGACGAGGCCATCATTTTTCTCTCTCTTCCCCAACCCGTCCGTCCACCAACAACCGTTTAATCCTCCACTTTCTACCATATCCTTCGTTTCTCCGTCTAACCATTTGGTGCGGAAAGGCAGATATAAGGTTTAACTATCTACCTTGCCTTGTAATCATCTTCGTTACCCCTCGACGTAGCGGCGGATTTTAGGTGGCACTTCCTCCTATCTCGACATCGCCAGCTCGGATCACCCAGCCCTTATCCCCGACCCCAAAACGGACATTTAAAAGGGTCTCCGATCTACCAGCTTCCCCAATTCCCCCCACAGAAGCTCCGGTATAAAGCTACGATCATCGCTTGAACGCCACCGGTCCCTCCCAGCAACCTCGAAGCTTACCACCTACCCGTCCGACCCAGCGTTGCGCGCTTTCATCCCACACACCGCGACTTTTACATCCCCTCTCTAATCATGGGCATCTCGTTCTCTACCTTGGCCGGATGGGTCGCCGTCCTCTCCGTTTTCGGCTTCTACTACCACTACACCCAAAACCAAGGCCAGCCGAAGAAGAAGGGGCTTGCGAGCAAGCCCTCGCAGCGACAGAGGTTGGAGGAGAAGCAGCCAGAGACACGCAAGGAGCCCAAAGAGAAGGCCAAGAAACAACGAACAGAAACACCAGCCAAGATCGCCGAGGAGCCAGAGAAGGCACAGAAGCCCAAGCAAAAGGCTGCCAAGCAAAAGGCTGCCCCTGCTCCCAAAGCTGCGCCCAAGGCTGCTCCCAAGGCTGCTCCCAAGGCTGCTCCTGTGCCTACCACCACCACCAAGCCCGCAAGCTACAGCTCGGATGAGGATGATGATATTGACAACCGCGAGTTTGCCCGCCAGTTCGCCAGCATCAAGCAGGGCACCGTGCTCAGCACCAAGAAGCAGGACGAGAAGCGTCAAAAGTCGGTGAAGCAGTCCCGTGCCCTCGAGCGTGAGGTCCAGGCCGAGCCCCAACAGGCTGCCGCCAAGGGTGTTTCTGCCCCCTCTTCCACCGCCGGCGTCGATGCCGATGACGATGAGTCCTCGGTCGCCTCCTTGGAGGTCAAGGCCCAGGACGCCGGTGACGTTAGCGACATGCTCGAACCCACGACCACAGGCCCTTCAGTCCTCCGTCTCACCGATACCGATAAGGTGAAGCAGAAGAAGGCGAAGAAGGAGAAGCCTCTGGAGAAGGTCGAGACCAAGAAGCAACGCCAGAACCGCAAGAAGGCCGAGGCTGAGAAGGCTGCCCGCGAGGACGCCGAGAAGGAGCGCCAGAAGCTGCTTGAGAAACAGAGGAGGGAGGCCCGCATCGCCGAAGGCCGTGA